GCCGAGATAGCATTTTAGGCCATGTCCGCCATCTTGGATTTCTGAATTTTCAAAATTTGACCCGAAATTCGAGTTTCCCGTCCAAAAATACCCTCCGGTACTAAATTTCACCAAGTTTCCACCAAGCTTCGCCGCGCGCGCGTCAATCAAGTGATTCAAGTGGAGATAGCGCCTTTTGATTTAATTCGGAATCCGGGTTAGCGCATTAAATCAAAGGGAATTACACATAGTTCCTTTTGATTTTATTCGTAATCGCTGATTCCCTGTTTTGCGATTTTTCAGGGGCTGATTCCAGGGGATGAAATTAGTATTTTGGGGGAATATTTACGTGTGAGAGCAGTCTATTACATGGAGAATCCAGATCCGTTAAAAACTGAAATTTGGAAATTTGGCGCTTAGTTCCCTTTCGTATAAATACGTCCACGTAGAGCATTGAGTTTTCATATGAGCGGGTGGTTTGAATTCACGCTTCAAGAATCATTAAATATCGTTGTGAGGAGTTGATTCCGGTAATTTTCGTTGTGCGCATCGTGCTTTACGTAAAATTTTGGTTAAGAAACATATATCAGAATGCTGAAATTCGAACCTAGTCTAGTGATCCATTAAAAATTCGAATGTGCGCCGAATCTTCGGCTAAATTATAAAAAAAAATCCGATATTCTTATTCTTATCTGGAATTCTGGAGAATTATACGTGTAGTTTTCCCTCAAGAATATCTCGGGGGGAAAGGGAGAGTACTCCAGTTTCTCGTCAGGGGAGAAGCCCCTGGGAATCATGGAGAATCAGGGGATACTAAGTATAGCCAAGAATTTCAGAAACCACACGAAGGAAAAAAAATTGCTGATTCAACAATTCAATTGCTAAAAACAGTGAGTGCAATGTTTCAACGCAGATTGTACAACAAAAAAATGCTACTTTAACCACCCCCGTGGTTAAATTAGTTTACAATGTGGTTAAAGTAGCATTTTTTTTGTTGTAAAATCTGCGTTGAAACATTGCACTCACTGTTTTTAGCAAGTGAATTGTTGAAACAGCATTTTTTTTTTTTTCCGTGCACGATCTAAAGTATGAATATGGGAGAAGTGGAAACTGCAGGTATCTGAAACGATAATATTGACGGTGGCGTCGTGAAGGAGGTAGTCTTGATGTGCTACTGCCAAACTGTAAAGTATAAGACAAAACAGACATTGTTATCATCACGCCGAAGTCTCAAGAGATTCCGACCCTGAACAGTCCCTGAGTGGGACCTGCGGGTGCCGGAACAGAAGGGGTGCAGACAGACGGTGAGCATTTATTCTCCCCCACCCACCCCTTCTTGCACACCCCATCCGTGGCTTGTCACCCTCCGTATATTTTAGAAATTTTAATACACTTCATTTCATCGCCCCGGTGATGTGTTCTGCCGTGCCAAGGAAAAACGCCGTAAGAATCTTCAGGCGTTGTCAAATTTACCCGGATAAAGCATGCATTTCTGAGGAAAGTAATGCATATTTTTCCTCAAAATTTTCTGGTATTTTAGGTCAAATTGCGAACAAAATTGCCTGAAATGTTTGTAAGAAAATATTCCCAATTTTCCCGATATATTTGATGTTTATCAAAGGAACTGGAGGATGGTCGGATAATTCAGGACTGTGAAGACGAAGAGTATAGATATCTAGGAGCTTGGTTAATAATGTGCAAGGTAGGAAAGCTATCGCGATGCTAAATGGGGTTCTCTGGGACCAGAGTATCTCCAAGGAGGCTAAAAGGAAAATTTACAACGTCATTGTGAAGAGTATCATAACTTACGGGAGTGAGGTCTGGCAATGGACCACTAGACAAGGTACGAATTTTAGCATTCTGATACTTGTTTTTTAACCAAAATTTTACGTAAAACACGATACGCACAACGAAAAATACCGAAATCAACTCCTTCCGAAGATATTTAATGATTCTTGATGCGTGAATTCAAACCACCCGCTCATGAAAACGCAATGCTCTGCGTGATTCACATCGCGCGCTAAACGTTATCATGACAGTCTCTGCGATATAAAAAACTGGCAACCTCAATCTTGACGCTTTGGCTCAGCTATAGCAGATTGCCTATAATTTGAACAACACATGGTGGAAAATGAACAGTGCTCGATTGAGAGGCTTGCTGAAACTGTTGTAGTGCGCGATTTGACTCACGTAGGTAGAGCTTTGAGTTTCTTGTCAGCGGGCAGTTCAGAATCCGCGTAACCAATGTGAAATAAAAAGATTAATATCTTTGTTAGGAGTTAGTTTCAGTCATTTTCGTTGCGCAAATCGTGTTCTACGTAAGATTCTGGTTCGGAAACATGTATCAGAATGCTTGAATTCGTGCCTTGTCTAGTGGTCTATTGAAGAAAAGGACTGAAGATATGCTTAGGGCAACGCAATGGACTTTTGGCGGAGGTCTGCTGCGTCCTAAGAAGAGAGCGTATCCGTAATGTATTTCTTATTTTTATTTGTAATTTCTATTAAACATTTTCTATAATTAATTTCCAATCTCTCGTGAATTTCTTTCATTTCATGCGGCCTGGTAATCGATTGGATATGATCGATTCTTGAAAAGTCGATTCTTTCGAAAAAGCAGATCGATCTCCTTGCAACGTGGCCTCGCGTGGACTCGCGGAGCCAATAAGAGCAGCTGTTTCGGAATCCTCGTTGTTGGAACCGCGGTTGGAAACCGAAACTCACGGTGACTTGCCGATTCCCTCGTCAACGGGCCGACCCGTGCCCGTATCATAATCGTAATTCTGACCCCGCACCGCACACGGGGTCGAGTCAATCAGAGAGGTTGGACATGAAATTTTTGACTGAAACTGCAAATTTTGATGTTGATTTCGTCACATTTCAAATTCTAAGGGGTGATTCTAGAAGAAAATTTCACTGGGAAACCAATGAAACCAGTTTTAGAACCTTGACGTTATGTGTAAACAGAGTTATAAGCGTTTAAAGTTTCCAAATTTTGTCTGACCTCTCCTATTGACTCGATCCACCGTGCCCCGGCCCGGCTCGGATCCATAGGCTAATTTCAAAAATTAACCCTCCGCATCCTCATTCTCCAGAAAACCAAAAAAAGTTTTTTGTAAGTTTGACAACGCATGGAGTTTTTTACGCTCATTAAAGAGGACGTTAGCTTGGTTACAATCGTGCACCATCGGGCCGATTAGTATTGAAATTGATAGACAAAGAAGACAAAATGACAATGGAGGGATCCCACTGGTGAAAGCAAGTGGTTGTAAATGGGCGAAGGATGTATAGGTAATAGACTAACTAACGGCAACCCACGAGAGACCCTGTAGTCCATCATTTTCTCCCTTAGGCCAAAGGAACCAACCATTTTAACTAAAGGATCTTTCAATAGGATCGCCTCATACTCCCTGTGTCCTCTTTATCTATCGCTTTGTCTATTAATTTGAATCTGCCGGCAGGGTTGCTGGCGTGGCGGCGGGGGTGGTCTGGAAAACTGGGAAAATCAGAGAAAATCAAGGAATTTCTGACACTACTAGTGATCACTGAAACTTAGCGTTGATCTTCCAACTTTTTACCCTTTCTGGTCAGTTTCAAGGCTTTTCATCTTTTCAGAAGGGACTGAATGCCTTCATCCATAATTGAACCGATTATTTATTCCAAATCACGTAAGCGCCAATCTCTAGTGGTAGAGGAGTTGCTTTCTCTATGTTTCCTCTGGTATAATTGATAATGTCTGATTTCAAAATAGCCCTCTGATAGAGCATACGCATTTTTTTTTTTTTGGAATTCGGAGACTGTCAAAAAAGCGAACAAAACTGTTTTCCTTGTTTTTCTCGCATCCGCAATTTTGACGCTTACGTGATTTGGAAAATAACAGGTTCAATTTAATCTTAGAGGAAGGATGTTTTGTCCAAAGTTTAGCAAAAACCAGCCTATTCAATGAAAAGAAGGAGGGGGAAAAATAGTAAAAGGTCGAGGAAAATTGAATTTTGAATTCTGGTGAAATTTGAATCTGTAAATTATTCAAAGACACGTTGGGGGCCAGCCATTTTTTAAATCTGTTTTAAAATTGTACGAATTAAATAGAAGGAGTCGAGTCCTTGGTTTGAAATTTTCGCGCCTTAAATTCGAAACTAACTTCGCCCCAAGACCTCGGCATCGAGAGTCCTTTGTCATGACTCTGGTGGGCATTTTTAAAAGCGCGAAGAGCCCCTTGAGACGCCCTTAATTTTTACCTGTTGCGTCCTCATTTGTCTTCAGATTTTTGTTTGCCCCACGACAACACGCCGAGGGCTAAGGGTCCTTGAAATTTTGAGACCACTCGCGACTTATCGAGCCGTCGCTTGTTCTCTTTATCTCGAGGCAACTCCGCGATGTATCGCCTCGTGACATTTTCCCGGGTCTCTTTAATGTTCGTCATGCCAAAAAGGACAAGTATCGAAATAATTTTTCCGAGAAGTCGCCTAGCACCTTAGCAAGTATTTATGAGGTTGTCTTCAGTACTTTGCTAATGCTTTAATTAAGGCACTTGCGAAGGAGTTTTCATAAACGAAGGAAGTTTATAAGAACTGGAAACGCGCTTCTACTCGGGACGAGTTTATCTGTTTTCATGAACTTCAAGGGTATTTTTCTCTCATGGAATTTGAGCGTCGCTTCCACATTTTGTGGCCGAAAACTATCTAGACTGGTTCAAAAGTCCTGCATTTCTCCAATACACGCCAGACTTTTTGTCTTTTTTGAGGAGGTCCTTTTTAAGGGTTTTTAAGGTTGCTCTGAACTAATTTTTTGGGTAATTTCTTTGTTCACAGGTTATTTGCTTACGCGTGTGGAAGGTAAAGTGGGCTCACCTGAGAAGCCTCTGTCAGATCTGGGGTTGATTTCCTACCGGAGTTACTGGAAGGACGTTCTGTTAGAGTATTTGTGCAATCTAGAAAACAAACAGTTATCCGTCAAAGGTAAGTCAGCTTTGGATCTTACGCTTTGTACATTATTTGGATTGCATTTTGCAAAAAGGAAGCAAGAGCATTCCAATGCCGCTAAGCCTGTGCAACTTTGTTAACCTTGCAAATATAAATTGATCATCTCAAGAAGATTCATCTTTACTCTCAATGAACTATAAATTCATGAAGAAAATCTGCGTCTGACTTTCAGAACAATTTCTCTGCAGTGGAGAATTTGCACACAAAAATTTTATTGCTTCATCTGAGAGTACTTAATGAGCTGAGTTCGCAGTATTTTTCATACTTTTTTTCTGACATGGTAGATTGGAGAAAAATAGATATGAAAGTGAGATAATGTACCGCCTCATGACGTCATCTGGCGGCATTTCCCATTCAAACACATGTATTTTAGCAGATCAGGTTATTTTGTCTTTTTTCCTCAAATAATTATTTATTCAATTTGGAAACCAAGTAAGGATATCCTCGTACTCAGTTTTCCTAGCAGTATCATTTAAAGATGAAATTTACAAAATTTCAGACACCTGCAAATTCCCTATTGAGTAAATTATGAAGATTTGTGGAGTCGGGTGGTCTTCAACATGGTGTCTAGTTGTTTAAAAACCGGGAAAAACCGGGATTTATCAGGGTATGAAAATTTACCGGGAAAATCGGGGAATCTGTTCCAGAAAGCGGGAATCTCTTCTCGAACCACCCAGGGATCATTTCGTTTTCAAAGGCGGTCTAATCTGACGTGCGCCAAAGAAATGGCTGTAAGCTTAATTAATATCGATATGCATATCTAAAACTCTAGAAAATTGTATTCTTTTCCCCAAGAAAATCCCGGGAAAGTGGGAAAAAACTTCGGTTTCACATCAGGGAATGAGCTCCTTAAAATCAGGGAAAAATCAGGGGATGAGCTTTGCCAAGAAAACTAAACACCATGATCTTCAACCTGAAGAATTCAATTATCCCCACATACTGACATATTGATCCAAAATTTTCAAAATTCGGAATCAGTCATCGTGTCGCGATTCAATTATTTTTCTTCGAACTAGGAAACTATGTTCTCAAGGTTCAATTCATGAGTGGCGTGGCGTACTTTGCGATTTATCGATTGATTTTCCATTTAAACCTATGAAAAAAGATCGATGAACGGAGTGTTGGCAACGAACACCTGAGTAATCGATTCTTTACTGTAGCTTCAAATGGAGATATATCGATAATCGATCATTCACGCGACGCCACTGGATTTTTTTAGTGCTGAAAACTTATCTCCATGACTTCACATGAATCTGGTCTCCTTCCCTCATTTTCCTTTTGTTTTTGTTTTTTTTTTTTTTTTCTCGCGACAGACATGAGTCAAGAACTGGCGGTCAATTCGTACGACATCGTCAGCACTCTCCAAGCGCTGGGCATGATGAAATACTGGAAGGGCAAACACATCATTCTCAAGAAACAAGTAAGTGTGTCGGTTTACGCCCTCATTTCGCATGATGTGTTTTTATGTGAAATCATCCTTATCAACTCTACACCGTATGGCCAATCTGCTCAAGAATACCTTTATAGGGAGAGTATGGCCACTTGGCCCCATGGAGAGGTTAGGGCCCAAAAATGGCCGATAAACAGCTTCGGCCTAATGCAGCAAAACCAGGGGTCCGGAGCTAGCTCCGAATCGGGCTCCCAGGGTGGAGCTAGCTCCGGCCCGGAGCCAGGATTAGGCTCCATGGTTGGAGCTAGCTTCGGGCCGGAGCTCTGGCTCGAGCTCCAGGCCGCAGATAGCTCCGGCCTGGAGCCAAGATTAGGCTCCACGGTCGGAGCTAGCTCCGGGCCGGAACCACGGATCGGGCTCCAGGTAGAGGCTAGCTTCGGCCCGGAGCTAAAATTTAGCTCAACGGTTGGAGCTAACTCCGGCCCGGAGCCCCAGATTGGGCTCCAGGTTGTAGCTAGCTCCGAACTCGGAGCTAAAATTAGGCTCTGCAGTCGGAGCTAGCTCCGGTCTACAGCTAAAATGTGGCTCCATGGCCGGAGCCAGCGTCGGTCCGGAGCTAAAATTAGGCTCCATGGTCGGAGCCGGCTCCGGACCGGAGCTTCTGAGACTATATATTTGGCTTGGCTCCGGCTCCGGCAACCGAAGCTGAGTAAAAGCAACAATTAGCAGGAATCCGGCGCTCGGAGCCTGGAAAAACAGATTCGTCTAGGCTCCGGAGGTCGGAACTTTGGGCTGGAGCCATAGCTCCATTACGAAACTGCTTTATCAGATGTATACGATTTTTTGCTTCGATTTTGGGCCGAATAATTCGTCAATCGTCGCAAACAGTACTAACGATTGATTCATGGTTGTCAAATCTACAATTTAATCGGAGCCGAATAATTCGTCAATCGTCCGCAAACAACTAACGATTGATTCATGGTTGTCAAATCTACAATTAATCGGAGCCGAATAATTCGTCAATTCGACAACTAATTGGAACCGAATAATTCGTTATAGTTATCAGCAAACAACTAACAAATTATTCGTGCGGCGTTAAGTGAAGAAATAATCGGAATCAAATTATTCGTGAGCCGTTAGTTTAAAAAACAATCGGGATCGGGACCAAATAATTCGTTCGTTTTAGCAAATAGTTAATGCATTTTTACACTCACACGTTTACACTTTGCTTTTCTGGAAAAAATTTACGGTTGAAATTGAGATCCACTCTTAAATACATTCCGAGTACTATCAATTGATCCACTCTCGCAGTCAGGCCCGCCACAAGGGGGGGGGGGTACTGGGTCACTGGTACCGGGGCCCGGGTCCCGGAAGGGGCTCGTGCCCGTGCTGCCCGTAAAAAACCACTACGAATTCACATGCAACCCTTGTTTCGTTAGAAAAAGTGAAAAATTTACCCTAAAAATTTCGCAAAAGGTGAATAAATTTTCAAAAACACGCTGGGGTACTGTAGAATTCTTCTTAAATTTTCAAGATTTTCAGTACAGAAGGATATTTTTAGTAACTGCAATTCATTTTCTTCCGTCGTCAGATGCTAAGAGTCTCCAGTCAGGGCATCCTCGACTTTAATGGCTCATGGCTCATGGCTCAACTCCCTTGCCATACACAAACGAAGGGGGAGTCCAGGGGGCCTGGCCCCCTTTAGAATTGAAAATAGTATCATAGCCCCCCCCCCAAAAAAAAAGAAAAAAATAAACATTTTCCAGGTGTTTTGAATGCAACAATTCGCGCGTATTTTGTGCTGAAAGTAGAAAAAAAAGCGTACTTAGTCCGCAGAAATTGATGGAAAAGTTCGTCATGGAAGCTTCAAAACGCGTCCGAATAGATTTATAAATTCAAACATTTCTCATGGGGTGGCCCTCGGACTCCCCCTCCCCCCGGTGCTTGGGGCGCGGGCCTTAAAACTGGTACCAGGGCCCGAGATGGGACGTGGCGGGCCTGCTCACAGTGATTACTTATACCTCAAAAGCCGGAGGTAGACGTTCCCGAAATATTTTCTCGGGAATTTCCGGCACTTAACTTTTCTGGGAACCTTGAATTCCTAATCTGATGAAAATAAAATAGATGGATATAAAATTCATAGCATATCGAAACCTCACTGCGTTAAGTATCTGCTTCGCGCCGGCGGCGCCATCAGCCGCCGACCGTGTCTCTTATCTTATTCCTTTAGCTTCCGTGCATCCCTTCACGGAGTTCGCCAGACGTTCAGTCGTACGTCCGTTTTTAGACCCTTTTGACCGTTTGCTTTGAACTGGTTGTGTTGAGAGTGACAGTGGCCTCCTCCTGTCGTCCAAGACCATATTGGCACCCTTGCGCCTCAATCGCGTCATGTCTTATCTTTTCGGGCAAGGTATTCATGCACTGCTACGACCCGCTCGGCGCGGCGCGGCGCTCGCTCACCTGATTCCTGTAATCAGCCGGTACCGCTCCCCGGATCTCGGTCTCTCTTTATTCACCTTGTTTTCCTCATCGTTTCGTAGCCTTCGATCACGGCTACCTTTTTCTTTCATCCGAGTGTGGAGTCAACCATCTTTTCACCGTCACCTCTGCCTGTCGCATTAAATGTATGGTTCCAATTCACTTTTCGGTGATTAAACATCATTACGGCTTCCCATTTAGATATTAATACACTCAAAATTGGTGCCCCATACGATTTTGATGTGCTGAATCCGAATTTGACCTCAGATTTTCTCCAAAAAATCATATTTAAAATTTATCACCATGTTTTCACAAAAATCATGAACTCTTATTCTCATGCAAGTAGGCCTGTCCCCGAAACGATCGATCGATTTTTTCGATCATCGTTCCAAGACCTGTTCCGCTTTGAAACATCGCTTCGATCAAAATGCCGTTTCGTTCTGAATGCCGTTACGATCAAGATGTTAATTTGTAATGTTTAAACAAGATTTACCATGTTCAGCAAATAATTGCAGATGAATTTTCATATTGATCACAATAATTTTTTCCCTCCCGTTTCGATAAATAAAAGCACCAGCGTTAAAGACCATAGCAGCTCTGTCCCTAAATTCTATTATTACCATGTGTTTTGTTTACTTAGAATTACCAAAAATCATTCTATGTGCTTGCCCCCCTCCCTCCCTCCCTCCCAAAACAAAAAAATAATTTAACCAGGCAAACCATGAAAAGACCATGTCTCGATTCTCGTATATTTATTTCGATTACTTTATCAGAGCGATCGATCAATTTTGATTCAACATGCGCTTATCGCATTCACCCCAATATTTGGTAACTAATTATTTGTGACGTATCAGAGGTTCGCTGCTCTACCTCTCAATCTCAATACGGAGGGTAGGTATGGATTCGATCGACATGAATCGATCAAAAATTAAAAACGTGAATCGATCGACGTGAATCTATCGACATCGATTCGATCGATAAATTATTTAGAGGTGTTTTTTAGAGGTACAATGTCGCGAAGTTTTATAATATCGTCTTTTTTACTATTTTTTGCTATTTTCTTCAATTTTCTCAAAAAACAGTCACACGTTTGCAGGTCTTAATATTATCAGGAAGTAAAAATACGTGGTATGCATCGTTACAGCCGAAAAACGAAATACCGCGGATCGGCCCATTGTCGCCCCATTTAAGTCAATGTAATGCTTTTGGAGATTGTCAGCCTCACTGCGGCACCGGGCCCGTGTTAATATACTGTCGGAGGACGAAAATACTTGGCAGGTATCATATTTGGATGGTAAAGATCTAATGTAGGGGGCGCCGGTTCATTGAGCGAAAACAAATTCCCATGTTAACTTGGACCACCCTATAAAGCTTGCGTCTTGGCCCGCGCGTTCAGCGGCCGACCGCGGCGCGCCCCGCCGGCCCATAGCATCACGTCGTCATTGGACCGTTTGTGACCTTATACGCTTGAAGACACGCCAAAACCGACGGAATTTCCGACCTAAGAACTGCAATATGCAATTTTGCCTCAAAATTGATACGTCGGTTGCCAAAATTTTTAATTTTGGATTTAGGCCCTTTAGGCCCTTTGAGGCACTGGTAAACATTTTTTTCAAACATTTTCCTTTGAGGGAGTTCTTTTAGAGATCACATAGAAACTTTTTATGGGTTGAGCAAATTGCTTTTCGCAAAACTAAAAAATAAGGTACACCCTACCCCCCCCCTTCCGCCATCTTGTCATTAGATCTGATTAAATAAAACGGAAGTGAAGAATTAAGTTCACCCTCAACTCTGTAGATACGATTTAAGCGGCTCAGAAGTTGAAATAGTTGTATTCTGTATATTCGCAAATTCTGTACACCGTCTTCTGTTTAAGTATTGTTGAAAGAAGGGCAAAAGCATACGTTTAAACAGGACCAAAGCTTCTGATTTTAAGCCCAATAATCTTTCCAAAAATAAATTCCGATCTCCGTCCGAAAGCACAGAGCCACATGTATATTAAAAACTCCTTAACAAGTTCGGGGCACCGGGCACCTCTGCTCTGATTATTTGAGTCCTTTCTACAAAAATAATTATCCAAAGACACCGTAAAATTGAAGGGGGGGGGGGTTCACGGAGCCGAAGATGCCGCACAAGAAACAGTTACCTCTCCTGTTTTAGAGAAAACAATTTTTAAAATCAAAACTGAAGTGGTCAAAAATATTGTGAGGCATAATCCGGCATTATTAGACAAGATTCCAAAAGTGAGGGAGGCAATCGAGAATGCAAAACTCATGCGTGAGAAGTCACTCTGGCGGATTCATTAGTATGAGGGAGTCAGAGAAGAAAGGAACGGAATGGGCAGGGAGCGAACGAAAATCTGAGGGGCGAGCGATGCGATCGACGGACGAAGGTGACAGACTTGACACTCGATCGAAAAGGTATCCGTGATCGAGGTAAAACAAAATCAATATAAGGAAAACAAAGTGAATGAGGAGAAGGGAAGTTGGCAAGCGTGTCCCGGGAGGACTGAGGAGGGACCGAGTGTGAGTGGGCGAACTTGCCCGGAACTCCGGATGATAAGGTGTGAATGAGGTGCCGCTGTGCCACCTAGGTTTCGGTTCAGCGAGGAGGCATTGTTACTCATCTCACAACAGAACCAGTTCAACGCAATCGGTCAAAAATGTGTAAAATGTACGCATAACTGAAAGAGAATGTGAGACAGACTCCAGAAAAGGATGCTATGAAGGGAGATAAGAGACGCGGCAAGTCCGGCGGGCGGCGCGGCGCGGCGCGGCGCGAGGCAGGTACGCAAGTGCGGAACGCTGTATGACGGCATTGATGTCCAAATCATTCGAACTTGTGTTCAAACAGTAGCGCTGATGAGCAGGCTACTCATTGTCAGCCACTGCGCACCCTTCGGTGCATAGCAGCAGTTGGGAAGCATTCTACGTATTCGCTCACTTTTATAACGTGATTGTAAAAAATCTGAGTCCTATTTCCAAAATCTGATTAGAGCGGGCTCATCTCGAAACAATTTCCTGCCGATAGCCGCAAGAATCATGGAAATCGGCTTAGTAGAAGGCTCAAATGAACCGTGAAAAAACATGAAAATTTAAATTGTTTAAATGGGAGAATTCGCAACTTTACCACGTAATATAAAAATAAAACCTGGGTCATATTTTCAAAATCTGAATAAAGCGCGCGGGCTCATTTAGAGAAAATTTCCCATCGACAGCCGCAAAAATCATGAAAATCGGCCCGGTAGAACGCTGGAACTAACAAAAAGCGTTACCAGATATGCAAATTTAGGAGGTCTCGGAGCTTATATATGTCGCAGGCAATTCGCAATCGCCGGCAATTTACAAGCTGGTGGTGGATAAATATAGGAAATCATAAAATTCAGAAATAAAAGAACGAGATTAGAGTGCTGATTATGTTGCCTGTAATGTGAATAGACACTTTTACATCCTGAAAAACGTGGCAGGAATATGCACACTTAGAAGAGCGTGTAGTGAACTCTGTGACATTAGTTGGATTGAGATCGGACAGGCAACTAAACTAACATCGTGACAAAACGTAGAGTATCACAAAAAATGAAGGCGCTTCAAGCTGAGCTCATACTTTTGAAGACCATAACCCTCAAAAATTGCATTACGCCGATGCGCATCATTGCGATTTATTGAAACAACGTGTGAACCGCTTGCAAATTGCCGGCGATTGCTAATTTCCTGCGACATATAGATAGATATTATATCCTATCTCCATTATCATTGCAAAACCAGCCTAAACGAACAAACGCAAAATCGACCAATTTCTCGAAATATTACTTTGTACTTAGGCGGTTCTAGACCTTCATGCTTGGAGGTGCCCAGAGGTGGAAAATGTCGGAGACCGATCCCGGAGGGGACGATCGCTCAGGGGAGGCCTAAGTTTCGGCCCTCAAGTTTTATCCCTTTCCTACCCTCCTTTCTCTTTTTTTCTCCTTCCTTTCTACTTAAATGCCTATAAATTCAATGTAGAAAATTGTTAGCAAAACTTTCCATCAAAACTACAATCTTACGAGATCCCCCTCCTCCCATCACCCCTTGCCCGTAATTATTGAATACCTGCAGATTTCAAAAATTCATGAAATAAAAATATTGCCAATTTTTTGCGCTTCATAATACGATTTTTATTGACGTTTTTACTTGCCCAAAAGCCTCTTTCACGGTCCCGGTAACCGTACTTAATTTTTGCTTGGGGGTGCACGGCACCCACTGGCACCCCCGTAGAACCGCCTATGGCTTTGCATCAGCACAGAACAAACTGAACTATGTTTTCTTCACGAAACTCCAACTCCGTGCTCGAAGCTGCCAAATAAAATTTAAAAGCTACGCTCAGGGGGCCGGAGCCTACTATTTTCCAAGAAGCTCCGGCTCCGACGCCCGGAGCTACGAAAATAAAATCCTTGGATTGGCTCCGGAGCCCGGAGCCGACTTATTTTTTCAAGAAGCTCCAGGTGCGGAGCCCGGAGCCAACTACTTTTCTCATGGTGCTCCGGCTCCGGAGCCCGGAGCTAACTATTTTTCTCATGAAGCTCCGGCTCCGGAGCCCGGAGCTGGAAAATCAAATCAACTGGCTCCTCTCCGGAGCCCGGAGCCTTGTAGTTTTCTGAAGAGGCTCTGGCTCCGGAGCCTGGAGCTGCTAAATAAAATTGACTGGCTCCGCCCTGGAGCTCGGAGCCAACCATCCCTATCACGAAGCTCCAGCACCGGAGCCTGGAGCCCAATATTGGGTCCAAGAAGCTCCAGGCTCGGAGCTGGAGCCTGAAAAACGAGAAGGAGCCGCCTTGGCTCCGGCTCGCTCCGGATCCCTGAGCAAAACCAAGACACTTCCCAATTTTTATTTCTATTTCTCTCATATTTTGTATTTTTGGCGGCTTTTCCGTGGTTAGTCCAACGTTTTCCCGCTGTGTCTGTAAAGAACACCCGGTGCAACCAATATTTTTCCCTTGTTTTCTTTGTCTATAGCTTTGTATATCTGTCGAAGGCAAATATTAAAATCAGGCATTTTGTCAAATGCCTAGGCAAATAGTCAAATATTCTGACGTACCAAAAAATGTCCGATTCTTCTCCTAATTACAGATGAAAAAAAAGTTCATAACGCATGAAAGAATGAATTCTCTGTAAAAATGTGCATCATACATGAAGTATTTTGAACGATTTTCAGCTCCTGAAAGAACATTTATACAACAAATTTTTTAAACATTTATTTCAAACATTATAACAAATAAATGTAAAGCATTTGTAGAGGAAGAAAGAAGAAGATAGATTTTCATAGATTTGATGAGCTATGTTGCCCAAAATATTGAAAATTCGTGAGTTCTCTGCCATAAATTTACAAAATTTCGTAATCCGTCAAAATTTGACTATTTGCCTAGGCATTTGATAAAATTCCTGATTTGACTAGTCGCCTGCAACATTTAGATTCCAAGAATCAGCTCGCCAGTTAATCAGTCGACCGTTTGAAAAGAACTTACGGGGTCTAAAATGTTTTGTCCTCTGTTTTTTGGCGCCAATATCTTTTAGTGACATTTTTCGTGGGTTTTTGTTCGCAGGACGTAATAGAGGAGTATGTTGAAAGGGTTAAGCGAAGGGGCACCAACTACAAAGAAATCGACCCGAAATGCCTCAAGTGGACGCCACCATCGACCAACGACCCTTCCTAGGGCTCGCCCAAGTCCTAATAGGACTTGGATCAGGCCGCCAGCCGTTGCATGAAGCCAGTGGCGATATTCCAAGTTGGCAACACTCTCTTCCTTCCATTGAAATCCATTGAAAATATCGAATTTCGGGTCGAACTAGTAATCAATTGTTCTACACACATTTAAATGGAGGAATAACAGTGTTGCCAACTTTTGTTGTGATAGCATTGTGATATTTGTGTTCGCGTTGCTTAGAGCAATTTTTATCTAGTTAGCTTTTTTATGGGGAATATAGAGAGCTGTTTCTTCAGGACTGCTGTATTCAGAGGTTCTTTTCTTACTCTTTGTACGGAAAGGATTTGTGTCAATAGTCGAAATCGGCGCATCTCCGATTAAGACGTCATTATTTCCACTCAAGTTCTTTTTTTTTTTTTTTTTTTTTTTTTAAAGTAACTAGCTAACTACTTTTCCTGAAATTTTCTGTGAATTTTCTTCACTCATTCAAACATATTCGCAGGAAATTCCAAGGAGATGTTCTGGTTGTGTTTCTCGTAAAATATGCGAATTTTTGACGGTATTTTTATTTGTCTAAAATTCAGCTCTCAAGTACATTCTCTTTGCTGTCGCTGAATTGTAGCAGTTCTCAAACTGTATCATTCCGGGTGTGCTGTCACATTTTAATCATCCGGAAACAAATTCATCAAAATGCGATTCAATTTTTCGCGGTCGTGTATTTTAAGGGATTGAGTATTGAAATTTTCTCTAGGTTGTTGAAAATCCTCATTTGATCTGTACAAATCATGAATTGTTTAGGGTTTTTTCAACTATTGTGAGTGTTATTAAGTTGTCTCTTTTTTAAGAATCCTGTTGGATTTTTTCCACTCATAAGATCTCTGATTTTCAATTTGAAAACTTTTTTCCCGTGTTCATTGTTCGTTCTGTCGACTTGGAGTTTTTATTCCCGTCAACCGAAGTCCTGAAGTAATTGTCACAAGATCAAAATGCGAATACCGTTCCAGTAAAGGCAAGCAAATAAGCCAGGTAAACGTTCAAAATTTTGCTTAGCAAAACTAACAGTCTTATTAGGTCTGTTATAATATTTAAGAAATAGTTTTTTTGTTTTACAAGAAATCTTCCCATAATCAGAATCAATTCTAATTTTCTAAAATTTGGTCTGTTGCTGCAGCGATTAAAATCTCATTTATATCAATGTAATATTTCGCCGGAAAGCGCTTAATCGCTTTTTATAAAAACGAATGCTGACAGGACGAAAATTTGTTTCTTTTGCTTGTCAAACGTGACATTTTTAGATCTGTAACGACCTGTATAATACTTTAGCAGTCAGGTCCGTAGTGTAAGAGAACATCAAATCTATGGAAACACACGTTTAAACTTATTGTGATTTTCCTGATGATTGATACAATCATTCCTTCCCGAAATAGCTAAGTGTTTAGTCTGTGGATATTTATCTTTGTTGTCGCTGAGCATTCTAGCCAACCGATTACAAACACATGCAGAATTCTATATTCTCACTGTCCTGGAATGATTCGTTTAGATAATCAGTTCCTTATTTGTAGCCAAAGATGATGAAAGAGATTTTTATATTTTTCTCCTATCTTACGTTTCTTACGTATCGATCGGAGCCGGACTAAGTATCGGTGGAAATGTTGCTGCAGTCCTCCGCATACTCCAGCAATATTTTCGTTCCGAATCTGTGTTACGTAAATGAATAATAACGTATCCGTAGGTGAAGCAATTTAATCACTTCTGCGGTATCGTATTTCAAGTACCAATCAATTATTAGTGTTGATGAGTATTAATAAATTTAATTAATTCAATTAATTTATTCATCGGATTTTTATATTTATTTTTAAGTTCGAGCAATCGAATTAATGATAACTCTACTTCCCGACATGGGTGCAAACCCATTTTTTGTTTTCTCGTTTGAGTTTGTGTAGCTTTTAAAATAGTGTAAGGAATTAGCTTTTAATGGATGTATCTCTGTAAATTCACTAACGGTCCAGTGACGGTTTGTGATTGTTGAAAAAGACACGAGAGTATGATCATTTGAGGAAAAATCGTAAGGGAATTTTTCTCTTCATATTTTGCTTCAATTGTGACCAAAGTACCAGCTTAGATCATGAATCTTGCATGAAAAAAAAAAAAAAACTTGTATTTGGTAAGCAAAAGCACCTTCTTTAAGATAAGCATTGTAAAAATCAACTAAATTGTCTATCATACTGTTTCTTTCTATCATCACCTACAACCTTGTGTCAAATTTAATGTTTTTATGTCCCTACATAGAACGATTTTTCCATATAAGCCGGCGCTGACACTTAAGAATCCAGCAAATTTTGTATCGTTAGTCTATTATTTTTAATGTTAACTCTACGTTAAATTAACGTAGCACAACAACTCAGTACAATTATTTTTCTCGTGGTGCCAATTTTATTGAGGTTGAGGCTGTTTTTTATAGATTTATCTTTCACAGTTAGACTTGGCTTACAGTGAAGGTGAAATAGCGCTCGCTATGGAAGGGTCATTCGATCGAACGATGAAGAAAAAAAAAGCGTGTCGGTAACTATATTCATACATTTTTATATATTTTGCCTATATAACGCTCTGAAGGCACTTCTTCAAACAAAATGCTCATTGCATTTTTCCGTGACCCTATTAGGTCCATATTATTAGAATGTTAAATCGTTCCGTCCGAATTTTATGGGTTCATTACACTGGATTGCTATTGCGAATTGCTGAGAAACATAGTGTTCCAAAACTAAAAGTCACATCGTAAAAACAGGTCTTAACACAGTTGCTATTTGAGCTCCGTTAGTCATGCAAGGAGCGTGACTAAAAGTAAATTCGTATCTTTCCTCACGTGTACTATATGTATAAAGTAGAATGATATTTATGGAAATATGAGTAAAGGTTATAATTTTACTTTTATTTACGCGTAATTTCACGTACCTTGCTAATTGCAATTATTTTTAATTCGAATGATGGCCTCATCCTTGTATTTTTACACCGTGTGTCATTTCTCTTCTCCGGAGATTGTAATTAGTAAATCTTTTAGCCAATTGTGTTTGTTCCCCAGATTTTCATCTGGTTTTTATGCATGGTACATGTATTTTTTACTAGTTAATGTCAATGTTTCTTATTTTATGTATCATATTATTGAAAGAATACAAAACTTCCTGTAATTCTTCCACGTTCTCAATTCCATCCTGACCTTTTCATTTATTATGTTTTTTCATCTGCTGGATGAGTGTCGACGCGTTAAAAACGCCTTCAACGGGAAAAGATACTACCCTGCGTAGCCTCAGAGGCCGAATAGTTGCATTCTTTCGAACCCCAATCAATATAGCAGCAGCGTAGATTAGCGTAGCGATTAATGCGGTTGCTTCATTTGCTAGATAAATAGTGACAGTGCGTAAAAAACGCCTTCAACGAGGAAAGATACTTCCTAGCGTGACCTCAGAGGCCGAATAGTTGCATTCTTTCGAACCCCAATCAATATAGCAGCAGCGTAGATTAGCGTAGCGATTAATGCGGTTGCTTCATTTGCTAGATAAAGAGTGACAGTGCGTAAAAAACGCCTTCAACGAGGAAAGATACTTCCTAGCGTGACCTCAGAGGCCGAATAGTTGCATTATTCAGAAACTCTATCATCAGCTTAGCAGCGTAGATTAGTGATCAATGCGGTTGCTTCAGTTAATTCTTCGATGAAGAGTGTGGACGCATAAAAAACGCCCTCATCGTAAAAATGAAAACACTTCCTAGCGTGGCTGCAGGGACCGAACACTTGCATTATTCTAAAAATAAAATCGAAAGCAGCAATATTAGTGCCTACTGCCATTTTTAGCTGGCACTCTTTCTCACACGTCCTTAGACATATGTAAAGCTGCAGTAGTCTATGAGTGCACTGGATGGAAAAAAAAAAAACAAAAAACACATTAGATCTAGAGTCCAGACTCTTGAAAACATTGACATGAAAGAGGACTCTTGATTCAATCAGATTTAAGCTTAAATCAAGAACCACGTTTTTTAATCTGAGCGGATTTCCTTTTGATTTAAGCTTAAATCTCATTGAATCAAGAGTATTTTTTCTTGTCGATGTTTTCAAGAGTCTGTACTCCAGATCCAATGTGTTTTTTTTCCAGTGTGGACCGCGTTAAGAAGAAAGGAACCAAGCCACGCCTGTTATTGTCAAATTTAACTAGGCAATTTAATTTTTTACGAAGGAACGTTGTGCGGATTCCTTTGAAAATTATAAAAAGTTTGCTTCGATATGTGCGAAAAAGCACAGAAACTTTCACAAAAATCCGCGCAACCGTTTCCATGTAAAAAATTAAATTGTCCAATTAAATTTGGCAATAGCTGATGTGGCTTGGTTCTATTCTGCTTAACACGGTCCAAGTATCTAGGTCATTGAGCCATAGAATATGAGCAATCCTTAAGAAGCCGTCCACTACACTAAAAAAAAAGATGGGTAGAATTTACCATTCCCCAACGCTGTAGACGCGCTAGACCCCTGACGGTCTTTATGGAGCCATAGCCTCTATGCAGAAAACGCGACTGGTGCATGTCATAAAATCCATCTAAAAGTGTATCCCTTAATTCGATCGTTAGAAGACATTTTTCATGCTGTCGTAAGCGTAAGCACGATGATCACATACTGTAATCGCCGATTCCAGGAGCACATTAAAGTTCCTCCTTTGAGCACAGGGTAATAAACATGTATGCACAGCTGAGCAGCGACTTGGCAACGTTGCCGATCGGGCTTGGTAAACCTCAATTTTTCCCCTTCACCGCCGCGCTAGGGAAGAAAATTCGCGTGTTTGAAAGATAGGCAGTTCACAATCCAATGAAACATTGTAATGCGATTTTCAGCAAGAAGTGCCCCTTCAATCTGTAGGTAGGCAACATACACAACACTCCGATGCAGTTTAGCTAATTGTAAGTAGCAATAATTTCACCATGCAATTGCAATTTATTGCACACTGTGCTAGTTGTGTGTTATATATGTACTGTCGCTGCGGGCTGATTATTGAAATTGATAGATAAAGCTATCGAAAAAGAAGACAAAAGAAATATGAAGGGATCATATTGGCTGAAACGGGTGGCTCTTATAGACTAAGGGGAAAAATGGACTAAATATTGGTACCTACTTACCTCCTTTGTCCATCGGAACCATCCGCTTGCACCAATAGGATCGCGCCATTTTCGCTCTGTATCTTTGTCCACCGGTTTTTCCATCAATCACAATAATCAGCCTTTTGGTCGTCGAAAGAGGCGGTTGCCACTGACTTTCATGGGGAAAATTATGAACCAACTATCGGGTCTTTGGTAGGTTGCAGTCAGTAAGACTATTACTTACCTCCTTTGTCCATTGCAACCATCAGCGTCCACGAATGACATCACTTCATTTTCCCTTTTTCTTCTTTGTATACCTATAGCTTTGTCTATCGATTTCAATAATAAGCCAGCTGCATACGAGCGTTTCTGCAGTTCCACAATCGACATTTTCAAGGTTCCGTTATTTGGATAAAGGATATTCATGAGGGATCGCTTCATTTTTCCTATGTCTGCTTTGTCTATCAATTTCAATATCTTTGGTAGTTTGCAGTCATTAAATCTATTACTTACCTCCTTCATAGATTGCAACCATCCACTACCACCAAAAAGATCACTTCATGTTCCCCACACTGGAAAAAAAAACACATTGGAGAGTCCAGACTCTCAAAAACATTGACAAGAAAAAGTACTCTAGATTCAATCAGAGTCTAGCTTAAATCAAGAACCAAGCCTCTTAATTGAAGCGGATTTTGTTTTGTTTCAAGTAAAAATCCGATTGAATCAAGAGTATTTTTTCTTGTCAATGTTTTCGAGAGTCTGGACTCTAGATCCAATGTTTTTTTTTTTTGTTTTTTTTTCCCCCCCAGTGTATTTCATCTTTGTCCATCGCCTCATCTATCAATTTCAATAGGTAACCAACCCGCTGGCAATAATATTTATATATTTTCTCAAAAATAAACATGTCATGCGGGGAAACGAGGCAACGTCGGAACGTCCATACGCGGTTCTTGCTCAGGACGGGAGTTTTCTATCGCTTTTCGGACGGCGGGCGACGAGGCGGGGTTTGAGTCACCCAGTGCTATATTTAGTGATCGGCCAAAGGCACGCGTCAGTGACCTTCGGTCGCGTAATGTAAGTACCCACACTAGACTCCCCTTCCTCCCGGGAGGGGGGCCGGGGGGAGGGATCACCGGCCCCCGGCTTCGGAGAGACCATCTTTTAATTCACTTTCAGCCGGGCCGAGCGAGGCCGCGATCAAATCCACGGCCCC